CAAACCTTCCGATAGTTAGGGTCATCACAAACTCCCACTTGGTCAAACCTTCCTACAGTTAGGACCAAAAACACAATTCACTCTCGATAAACGAGAAATTCACTTTCAGTTCGATAATCAAACTTTCCGACAGTTAGGGTTATCCGAATCTTTCCGATTCTCGGAGTGGAGATCCCACTCTTAGTTTCATCCTTCCGGATTCTGGGGGTGGAGATCCCACCTCGAGTTTCCTTTCCAGCTGAAGATAGAATATAAAATTCTTCCTCTTTAGCGCCGGGAGATAGAATATAAAATTCTTCCTCTCTCGTTTCCTTTCCGATGCTCGGAGTGGAGAACCCACTCCCAGTTCATCATCCCGGATTCTGGGGGTGGGGATCCCACCTCGAGTTTCCTTTCCAGCTGTAGATAGAATATAAAATTCTTCCTCTTCAGCACCGGGAGATAGAATATAAAATTCTTCCTCTCCCGTTTCTCAATCTGTCTTTGCTTTCAGAAAAGACACGATTCTCAACTTCCAATCCGGACACTCGATGCACGGGTAGGGATAAGTCAACGCCTAACACGCGTTGCCGGGTAGTCTATTCCCGTGAGAAAGACGAAGCCTATGTATTCAACGTCATAGCACAAAGTCTCAGAGAGTTTACTCTCTTAGCACAACGTTACATGCGGAACGACTAAGAGCGTTAACTCTCTTAGCACAACGTCACATGCGGAACGGACTTAAGACAATCCGCATGTAAGCCCGATTCAAACGGTAATCGGTAAAAGCATGTCAAATCCGTTGAAGGCTGGGGGTTAGCCAAAAATCCTAAAGTCAACGCCTAACACGCGTTGCCGGGTAGTCTATTCCCGTGAGAAAGACGAAGTCTACGTATTCAATATCGTAGCACTAAAAGGGTTAACTCTTTTAGCTTAAACGTTACATGGGAGCGGACTTAAACAATCCGCATACTAGCCCGACTCAAACGGTAGTCGGTAAAGGCTAATCAAATCCGTTGAAGGCTGGGGATTAGCCAAAAATCCTAAAGTCAACGCCTAACACGCGTCGCCGGGTAGTCTATTCCCGTGAGAAAGACGAAGTCTACGTATTCAATATCGTAGCACTAAAAGGGTTAACTCTTTTAGCTTAAACGTCACATAGGAGCAGACTTAAACAATCCGCATGCTAGCCCGACTCAAACGGTAGTCGGTAAAGGCTAATCAAATCCGTTGATGGCTGAGGATTTGCCAAAAATTCTATAACTGAGAGTCATTGACGCATCAACTCCACTGGTTGGTCTCGTGACTCGAGCACCCAACAAATTCAGGATAAAATCCACACATGCAGATGAATCAGCTTTAACAGTTGGTCCTGCAGCCCCAACACTTGAAACCGCTATGCTCCAATACCTTAAGAGCTTAAACTGTGTATACTCCAGCAAACGTACGAGTATAAACTGTGTTAATGGCGATCCGTAAACCCTAGGGTCAACGCCGGTCAACGCGTAACCCTAGGTCAACGCCAGTCAACGCGTTGCAATCAAAGTCAACGTTCGAGGATTCAATATCCACACCATTCAACGTTCGACGATCGAAACCCTAGAGTCAACGCCGGTCACCGCGTAACCCTAGGTCGACGCCGGTCAGCGCGTTGCGACACAAGTCAACGTTCGAGGATTCAAGATCCACACCATTCAACGTTCGACGATTCAAAACCCTAGGGTGGACGCCGGTCAACGCGTAGCCCTAGGTCAACGCCAAGCAACACGTTGCAAGCAAAAGTCAGCGTTCGACGATTTGAAACCCTAGGGGTCAACGCCGGTCAACGCGTAACCCCAGGTCAACGCCAAGCAACGCGTGGCAACAAAAGTCAACGTTCGACGATTCGAAACCCTAGAGTCAACGCCGGTCACCGCGTAACCCTAGGTCAACGCCAGTCAACGCGTTGCAACCAAAGTCAACGTTCGACGATTCGAAACCCTAAGGGTCATGCCGGTCAACGCGTAACCCTAGGTCAACGCCAGTCAACGCGTTGCAACAAAAGTCAACAGTTGACGATTCGAAACCCTAGGGTCAACGCCGGTCACCGCGTAACCCTAGGTCAACGCCAGTCAACGCGTTGCAACCAAAGTCAACGTTCGACGATTCAAACCCTAAGGGTCAACGCCGGTCAACGCGTAAACCTAGGTCGACGCCGGTCAGCGCGTTGCGACACAAGTCAACGTTCGAGGATTCAAGATCCACACCATTCAACGTTCGACGATTCAAAACCCTAGGGTGGACGCCGGTCAACGCGTAACCCTAGGTCAACGCCAGTCAACGCGTTGCAACACAAGTCAACGTTACCCTAAGCCAGCACAATGTGGCGAAGGTAGTTCAAAGTCAACTCAATGACACGAGCCAAACTCAATTCATCAGCTGCAGACTCGAGACTCCGACGACGGCCAGACGATAAACGCAGCGCCGGAAGAACCTCGGCTATTCGTCAAAGCATCGAATAGATCGAAAATCGAAAGAGTCAAGAATTGAAGCTAACTACGCCGACTGAAGGCCAGATCAATCACATCCAAAGTATTCCAGCCTCTTCTATAAAAGAAACGAGTCAGGAACACTTTGGAGGGGGTATCTGTAGGCATCAAAAATTGCCTATAGTTCTCCACAACCGGTTCAGTGTTAACGAGCGACGATGAACGTCACCATCCAATCCACATGAGCCTAATCGACATCGACGAACGACTGAAGTGAATCGACGAGTTACATGAGCGGATAGGACTTCGGAATCACGAAGACCCGGACCAATCGGGAACCCGGCACTGTTCACAAAAAGGACAACGCCCTTCATGCCTCGACCACTCTACAGATAATCCAATCACCAGAGCGGGTCAAACTCTTCGTCGCGCATCCAACGCACCCGGAATCACTCAAATCCGAATCCGGACGACGAATCAACCGCGAGTCAACGGCGGAACACCCAAACAGGTCTTGGCCAATAGCCGAGACACCCCCTAAGGAGTGTCTCGGCCACAACCGAGACACCCCAAGGGGGGTGTCTCGGCCATGGCCGAGACACCCCATGGGGGGTGTCTCGGCCGTGGCCGAGACACCCCTAGGGGTGTGTCTCGGCCGTGGCCGAGACACCCCATGGGGGGTGTCTCGGCCATGGCCGAGACACCCCATGGGGGGTGTCTCGGCCATGGCCGAGACACCCCATGGGGGGTGTCTCGGCCATGGCCGAGACACCCCAGGGGCGGATTTCTTTGGAGTGCCTTGGCGAAGCCCTGCTGCAGTGAAGAGTGGCCGTGAGCTTCAACAAGAGGAGGAGAGGTCTTGATCAGAGCCTTCATCACCCGTCCGAGCCTTAGTATTAGCCTTTAGCGTTAATACTAAGAAGAGCTAATACCTCGCTTTAGCCGAGGTATACGCTTATAGCTTCTAGATCTCACGCGGATCGACGAAGTTCTGCTTCTATATCCCTCCGCGGATAGACGAAGCTCTGCCCGATTTTCTCGGACCAGATCTGATTGCCCCGGTGGTCCACGGATATCAACGTCCCCGTCACAGGCCAAAGACCCACGCAAGCAAGAGATGACAAACAGCTCTTGCGTTTGTTTGAAAGGAGTTGCATTTCTTTTATTTTCATTGTGTACCGGTCTTATAAAAAGACTATCTTTTTATTTCATTGTAACGATCGAAGTTGTAATGAATGCAGCAATGAATACAGCAACTTTTTCCGCAAACACGGACCAGGCAGAAACGGATTGCGTGTAATCCTCTAGGCCGCATGTGTAGCGAGATTGGATGCACGTAGAGGATTTATGAACAGTCAGTTATCCGATGACAGGAACGTTGACTCTATGTGAGATATGTACCAGTGACCTGTTATAGAATGGCTAGTTACATGACCTCGTTACTTGGATGATTATGAGTTGTTGTGAGATACAGATCAGTTATATTTCTTTTCATACATAGATCAGGATTAATATTTAATTATCTATAATTTGAGACATATGGTATATACATGAGGGTTTTCTTGTTTGGATTATTTCGCTCGATGTACTACGTCTCGAGTTATAGATTTTTAAATATTAATTTCATCTAGTGTATGACACTGTACTTGGATGATTATTCTGACCGCTAGCTGCATGACCTCATTACCTGATTGATTTTGGATTATTCTGATTGTTCTATTCTAGTAGTAAGTTATATTTAGATTATTAGTATTTTAGTTGCATGTTTCCATTGTTATTACCATTATTGCATTGGTCGCACGACCGTTTCTATTCTTTCTTTTGGGATCTTGCCTTGTGCCATGCACGCTGAGGTACTCCTTTCCTCTTACGATGTACGTTAGATTTAGAGGACGGACAGCTACTGTTCGGAGTAGTACAAGAGCCAGAGGATCATCCGCAGGAAGGCTTTGCAGACGGAGCAGAATAATAAGTCGAAGCTTAGTTACCTCTTTTAGTTAATTGAGGACCCTAGTTTACTTTTGTCGTACTTTTATTTTCCGTTGGATCGTTGTATTTTATATTTTCCAGCATTTAGATCGTTTTGTATAAGGTCATGTTTGGCTCGAATATTATGTCTGGGATGATGTTTCAGTTGTGATATGCATTATTTTGTTCTGAGTTGTTTATTATATTCTCACTACTATGATCGGGGACCTGTGTCTTTGCTTTATATTTGCTTGATGCTTAGCGTATTAAATTGAGCAGAAGGGGTCTAGTACTTATTTCTCCTCAGTCTAATATGTCGCGGGCTTGTTCACATTCTGATTCCCTGGTATTTTGGGAAGCGGGACGTGATAGTTTTTGTTGGTGGCCCACGCAGGTCACGGTCCCGAGTTCCCACCAGTGAGAATATAATGAATAATTTAGACGCATATCATATTTCATCCGTAAGACTATATTTGAACTCTTATCCTATTATCTTAATAACTATGTTTTAGTTCCTGTCTTACTAAATTTTAGTTTTGATTTTGACCTTAGTTTTCCTCTTGATCCTCGCTTCCCTTCAGAACCATGGTGGATACACATAGCAATGGTAACCCGTCCGGTAGTTGTGACCTACCGCCCGAAGTGGACCCTCGCCAACTTCTGGCAATGATTCAGGGACTGGCGACGAATCAGCAGCATCTGGCCGGGAAATTGTCACGGGAGCCTCACCAGCATCCTCCTCGCTCTGAACCTAGTGTTAGGGAGTTCCGGTATATGCGGCCTCCTTCTTTCTCTGGTGCCGAAGGACATCTAGCAGCAGAGGAGTTCTTGAAGGTCACAGAGACTATTCTCATGGTGACCCGTATTGCCCCTACTGAATGGGTAGACCTTATGGATATTCAGCTCACCAACACCGCTCGGATATGGTGGGCAGCTGAGAAGACTCATCTGGAGAGACCAATCCTATGGGAGACGTTCATAGAGCGCTTCAACAGGAAGTATTTTCCTCAGTCGGCTCGGGATGAACTCCTACGTAGATTTGTTGAGCTCAAGCAGGGAGGCCGATCAGTTGATGAGTACGAGGCCGAGTTTTAGCCGATATGCTCCCCACTTGGTTACAGACCCTATGTTTAGATGTCATCAGTTTCAGAAGGGTCTAGACAAGTACATTAGGATAACTCTAGCAGGTAGAGCTTTGGCGACCCAAGATGCAGTACTGGATGTAGCACGCAAGATCGAGAGTGTGCATAAGGAACCTAAAGACTCACACGTGACTCAGAGCAGGACACCAGCATCTCCGGCCTGGAATGTCGAGAGTCCCCCTTTGAGGCAGCAGCAGCAGGCCTCACAGAGGCAGCAGGATTCTCAGCGTTAACCATTCACTCAGAGTCACCCTTATCAGCGCCCTGGAGTGCAGACTCTCGGCCAACCTTCGGTGAAGTGTTCCTATTATGGTCACGCTGGGCATACCCAGCAGGATTGCCCCAGGCGTCTTCATCTGTTCTTTAACTATAGGTCCCCCGGTCATGTCAGTCGAGACTTTCCGCAGAGACAGCAGGCCCGCTTTCCCCTACCTTCAGTTCGGGCAGCTCTTCCAGCTCCACCTCGACCTGTCCCAGTAGCATCGGCTCAGCAGGGACCCTATCCCCGAGCAGGACCTCTTCTTCCTCAGAAGCAGTTTTATTAGGAAGCACAAAGGCAGCAACCACCGCGTTAGACGTTTATGATGTCAGCTGTGGAAGCTGAAGAGAACGACCAGGTTATCACTGGTAAGAATTGTTCATCTTAGTTTTATTTGCATATGAACTTCCTTATTTAGCATTACTTGATGATATCATAATAGGATTGTTATGAGTACTAAGTTAGTTGTATTATCTCCTCCTATAATAGGCAAGGTTCTTGTTTCTTTTGTTCCTGCTTTATCACTCTTTGACTCTGGAGCCTCCCATTGTTTCTTGTCTCGTCAATTTGCGAGTGCCCACTCTCTTCCTATAACTCCTCTGGCTACAGGCTGGAATATTAACACTGGTAGTGGTGTCTTAGTAGCATCCAGTGGTTATGAAGCATCTCCTGTGGTTATCTGTGAGAGGGAACTCTTTGTAGACTTTCTAGTGATTGATTTGCCGAGCTTTGATGCAGTATTTAGGATGGATTGGTTGGGGTCATTCTTTGCCACCATTGATTTTCATTGTCGAAGCGTAGTATTTGAGATGCCGGATCACCCGAGGTTTGAGTTCCTCAGTGGCAGCACATCGGCCGGATCTGTAGAGTATAGAGCTAGACCGAAGAAGGCGACATTAGCAGCAATGCAGGTGGTGTTGGTTTCTTTGTTTTGATGATGTTTAACAAACAATTTACCACTAATATTATTTGTCTAGTATTTGTGTTTATTTATTTATTACAGACAAACAACAAGTTGGAGGATGGATGGAATTGCGTATTCACGATCATATCCAATGGAGGTTGGCGGAATTGTGGAGTGAAGCCTATGCAATTCAAATTAAAGATCCAAGTTCTAGCTTCATCCGCAAGTGTACTAAGTTGAGCTATATCGAAGATCAATCAAGCTTGGGTATATTTTGTTTTAGGTTTTATATTATGTGTGTTAGTACTTTAAGCTCCATCATATACACACATACACGCTTTGGTTTCGTATATATATAGTTATATATATACGTATATGTTTTGGTTTGATAGTTTTCAAGTTTTACTATGAAACAATTGAATACAATTGAAAATACATTTCTTGTTTCATACTTATATGCATATATATATTTTCATCAATATCAATTTTATTTAGTTCAATGAAATCATGTTTTAGTGCATTATATGTGTATTTTGATAAAATACTATATTCATTGTTTATAGACTTCATAACAATAGTTTACATATTTCTTCAAGTCTATAAAATCATTTTGTATTGTTTCAAAACATGGTTAAGCTAAAATGTCAAAACTCATATGTTCACATTTTCATGTTTTGGACTATTTTGTAAAATGATGATATTTTTTAGTTGGGAGGTCCTTTTTGAAAACCAGTTTTTGTAGTATGTATATTATCATGTCTACAATCATTTTCCAAAGTTTTATATTTTTGGAATTTATTTGATATTTTTAAACAGGATTTTAAAATCAGAAAACTGTTTCAAACCTGTCATTTTTCTGTGTCTGTTTGCGGTCGACTGTCACGGTCGCCCGCCTTGAGTCCAGAGACTCAGATTGTGTTTTGGTGACTCGCGGTCGACCGTCGCGGTCCACCAGATGCAGTCCAGAGAGTCTCGCGGTCGACCGTCACGGTCGACCGACTGATGTCCAGAGACTTTTCTCTCTCCTCAGGTGCTCGCGGTCGACCGTCGATGTTACCGTTGGCTGGTAACGGCTAGTTCCTGAGCTGTTTTTCTGAGGGCTTTTGTGTCATTTTAGTGGGGTTTTTACTGTAGTTTTGAGTGGGTATAAATACCTCATTGTATTCATTTCTCCCACCGGCAATGAGAGTGTTTTAAACAAGTTTAAGAAAGTTTTAAACAAGGGTTTATGTTTGGTTTAAGTTTGTTTTAAAAGCTTTTAAGCAATTGAGAGTTTAATTTTGTGAAATCAATTTCACAAGAGCTAGAAGAGATCATCACTTGGTGTTTGATCTACAAATCATCTCTCTCTCACTCTTATCATTTATTGGAGAAGTTTTCTAAACTCAATCTAGCTTTACTTTTATATTGTTTGATTATCATTCTATTAAGCTAGTATTTATATTTGAGTTTAGTTGATTTAATTTCACTTATTGTTTACACACATCCAATTGAGCTTATTGTATTTTCATATATAGTATATTTGGGTTGGTGAGAGTCGTAACAATTAAGAGTGAGCTTACATTGAGTTCTTATCTATTGTAGAGAACAAATTATTTATTATATTGTGAGATTATAAAGTTTTCGGTTAGCTAGAAAACCGAGTGTGTAGTGGAGATCTCCTCGAGGTGAGGAGCGGAGACATATAAAGTTTTCGGTTAGCTAGAAAACCGAGTGTGTAGTGGAGATCTCCTCGAGGTGAGGAGCGGAGACATAGGTCGTGGGGACCGAACTCCGTGAAGAGATCTCCTCGAGGTGAGGAGCGGAGACATAGGTCGTGGGGACCGAACTCCGTGAATGAAATTGTGAGGGATAAACGTTATTCGGGTGAGCGTAGAAAACCCGGTTGTAATAGTGGATTTCTTCCCAGGAGTGGGGAGCGGAGACATAGGACGAAAGGTCCGAACTCCGTGATCATATCATTTGTTTGTGATTGCATTGGTGCACCTTTCTTATGCTCATATCTTATATCGCCTTTGTACATTGCTTGTTGTTTATATTGCCCACTATCTAGTTTAGATTGTTTACCTTTGTGTTCATAGTATATTCTCGCATATATCTCATAGTATATATCATTGCTAGGATATTGCTCTTTGTTCATATTGATTATTCTTGCCTGTAACATATTGTATATCTCTCTTGTAAGAATAATTTGTTAATTAGTTTTAATTGGTATAAAATCAGATTAGATTAGCATAAGACCCTAATCACCCCCCTTTAGGGTCTCACAGGTGGAACACGAGAAGCCAATTGTAGCTCGGGAATTTGAAGATGTGTTTCTCGATGATATTTACGGGTTGCCACCGGATCGAGCAATTGAGTTTTCCATAGAACTGAAGTCTGGAACTGCTCCGATCTCCAAGACTCCTTATCGTATGCCTCCGGCTGAGTTGGCCGAACTTTGGACTCAGTTGGATGATCTTATGCAGAGAGACTTGATACGACGTAGTGTATCGGTCTGGGGACCACCTGTGTTGCTTGTAGGTAAGAATGATGGATCCAAGCGGATGTGCATTGACTACCGGGAGTTGAATGTCGTGATAGTAAAGAATAAGTATCCACTTCCCCGTATCGATGATATCTTCGACCAATTAGGAGGATCGAGAGTATTTTCTAAGCTGGATCTGCGACGTGGATATCACCAGGTGAAGATCAAGGACTCTGATGTTCCCAAGACTGCGTTCCAGACGAGATATGGATATTATGAGTTCTTAGTGATGTCGTTTGGTGTGACTAATGCACCAGCGACATTTATGAACCTGATGAATCTGATATTCTATGATGTGCTGGACAAGTTTGTAGAAGTCTTTATTGATGATATCCTGGTATACTCTAAGAGTGAAGTGGAGCATGAAGAGCGCTTACGGTACATGTTGCAGACCCTGAGAGAGCATCGGCTGTTCGCCAAGTATAGCAAGTGCCAGTTCTGTCTAGATCGTATAGCGTTTTTGGGACACATGGTGTTAGGAGACGGCATATCAGTAGATCCGGAGAAGGTATCTGTAGTGAGAAATTGGCCTACCCCTAGGAAAATATCTGACATTAAGAGCTTCCTTGGGCTAGCTGGATATTACTGGAGCTTCATCAAGGATTTCTCAAAGATCGCGAAGCCGATGACGCGACTTACAAGGAAGGATATTAGATTTGTCTGGTCTGATGCTTGTGAGCAGGCGTTTGAGGAGTTAAAGTCTCGATTGATTTTGGCCCTAGTCCTGATGATACCGGATAAGATCAGGAACTTTGAGGTGTTTTACAACGCATCAGGTAGATGATTAGGATGCGTTCTTCAGCAGGTGGTCATGTGGTAGCGTATGCTTCTCGTCAGTTGAAGAAGCATGAGCAGAATTACCCTACCCACAACCTGGAGTTGGCAGCTGTGGTTTTTGCTCTCAAGCTTTAGAGGCATTATTTGTTGGGAGAGCAAGTGAAGGTGTTTATGGATCACAAGAGTTTGAAGTACATCTTCACGCAGAAGGAGCTCAACATGAGATAGCGTAGATGGTTAGAACTGATGGCAGATTACGACATTGACCTTTAGTACCACCCTGACAAGGTTAATATAGTACCAGATGCTTTGAGCCATTTGCCGATGATCATGACCCTCACAGCTCAGTGGAGACTTTAGCAGGAAGTAAGGGATATGAGTATAGAAGTTCTTCTTCTAGGAGTCACCCCTTCTTTGATGAATCTTCAAATTCAATCGACATTGGTCGAGCGAATCAAGGCTGCACAAGCAGGTGACTCATTTCTT